CGGGGTTTCAGGGTGAGGCCCTGGCTCTTGTGGCAGGTGCTTTTCACTTTGGCTTTCTGTCAACTTTGCGCAGTGTACTACCTGGCCAAGGCCCTGAGCGGATTTCCACAGGGCTGGCTGCCCAGTCCGTACACCTGGCACCTCGACGCCCCAGTGCAAAGCATCCTGCGTCTACCGAGACGATCCCCTATGTTCGCGGTTGGAGACTGCTCTCCTTAGGGCCGCTTCCATTATCTCCACTGTCTTTCCATCTTTGGGGGCCATAACCAAAGTTAGCAAAACGTCTTAAAATCAGCTAACTTGGTTGTAATATAGTAGTACAATTAAAAAAAAAAAAACCAAGGAACATTTGAATGTTTCATATCTGTGCTCCCAGAAGGAAAAAGTCTTAAATTAGATGAAGTTCAGATGGTGCATATCACATTGCAAAGCATTTTCACGTACACGGTTATTATTTTTTTTTATCTCGTTTGTTGAAACAATTTTATACTCTATGTGTAGCTTGAGATCTAAATTTTTAAGCGTCTGCTGGAGATGGTGACCACATGACATACCTTAGATTGAAACTGACCATTCGTGCTCCTGCCTGTGAGCCAGGCCCTGGGCTTGGCCTTAGTTTGGCTATTTCATGTCTGCAACTTAGGTTTAAGCTGTGGCTCTGGTTAAAGCTCTGGCCCTGAGAGACCATCTGTGGGGAGGTCAGAGGCAGCTATCTCCTCACAGGGAGGTGGGAACTTGTCTTGAAGCTTTAATTTGTATGGCTTTTATTGTTTTGTTTTGTTTTTTAAAACACATAGTCTAGAGTAGTTTAAAAACAATACTTCACATGGGGTTAATTGCTATACTTAATTACTATAAGTGGTGGTGAAATTGGGACTAAATTTTTAAACCACTGGTTCTGAGTTTCTGAAATTGACCCTTGCTATATTCCAACTGCCATCACCCGCCTTCAAGACCCGTACTTTGTACAGGTAGGGCCTTACTTTTGTTCCTGCTTTCAGTTTCTTGCTATATCAGCCCACCTACACTCCTTGGGCAAATTGATCTTCAAAAATGATCTTTTTAATCATGGCATTCTTTTGCTCAAAAATATCTAAAAGCTTCCCTGTACCTTCTAAGTGAAGTTAAACTCCTTGACCCAGCATTCAATGACCACCCACCCCAACCCGGCTGCCCCCATGATATGATTCCAAGTCCTCCCAAGCTTTTCCTCTCACCTGCTCTGTAGCCAGCTGAGGTTGTTTAACTGATTCTCTTCCTCACCTCTGTACTCTGGGATTTCCCTTTGCCTGTAGTCCTTGTTCTTTCTCCACCTACCAGTATACTACCTAACCTTCAAACCCTAACTCAAGTTTTACCAAAGCTGTTTCCAGTTCGCCCTAACCTGAAGGGATACTTCCAGTCTCCAGGAAGAGCTTAGCAGTTACTCATCTCCTCTCTGAAAGTGACTGGGGGGGATTAATATTTATTTTGCAGTTTGGCATTTTATCTTTGTCCCCAATTTCTTTTTCCTGCATGGAGCGTATACATTCTGGCCCATTACCATCTACTAGATGTAGACATGTCCAGAAAGAGTTTTAACAGGCATTACAGAGTTCACTATTTTGACTCTTCCTTTCTATCACCAGAAGGGCCTGTCCCCAGGGACTGTTCCTTCGGTCTAGATTGCATAGTGAAAAAGCCCGAGGAGGTACATGTAACATGAGCAAAGAGTAAACATTTGTTGCATAAGCCACAGCGATTTTTAGGAACTGTTTGTTACTACAGCAAAGCTGACTAATACAGAAATTAAATATGATTGTGTGTGTAAAGTTACACAGTGACTGACATAGCATTCATTACATGAATAAATGATGGTTATTTTATCATCTTCATAGTGCTTTTGCTATGCATTATTTTCTTTCTCTGTGTAATCCATAACAATCAAACACTACTCTACATTCATATTTCTCACCCCCCAAGATAGAGTATAATTTTGAGATGGCAGGAACCTGATGACAGTGTTGTCTCTTGACATAAAATGCTCATATTTGCCTACATTAAATGGAAATAATATATAATACATGCAAAATAATAATATATGCTAGGAACAATTGTTGTAAGCAAATCCGTGATTTATATGTTGTAGATTTGAAGGTTCATTCCGGATAATTTAAGCACTGTAAATTGCTAATGACTCACTCAAGCAGGCCAAGGAAATACATTGCCTCCCTTCCTCCATGCCCCTCCCTCTTGCTGACATAGAAATCATGGCTTGGTACAGTACCACCTATGTAGGACTATTACAAAAGACAGATTGGCCTATGGAAAGAAAACTGATTGGCTAGCAGGAGCCTTGGGTCCTCATCTTAGCCATCTTATATGATGCCAGACAGATCTGTTATCTTCTCTGGATGTTTTACTTCCTTTATTGAATAGGTGGAGTTAGACCTGAGAGATCCAGGTTTGTAGAATCTGGAAGCTCTGCCACCAAGTCTATTCACAAAGTAAGCTAAAGTGCTGTAACAAACAGACCCCCCCAAATACCGCTATATAACCCAGGGCGTGTGTTCGAGCTTAGCGGGCAGTCTCCTCCATGGGAAGTTCAGGCCCAGGCCTCTTCCATCCTGTGGCCCCACCGATCCTTAGGGCCAGTTCTTTTCTTGTTTGGGACTGGTCTGTGACTTAGAGGGTAGAGCTGGCAAAAGGGGAAGGAGTGTGGTGAGGAAGCACTCCGACTCTTAGCTGGGAGTGGCCTCTGACTATATTTCACAGGCAGAACTTAGTTTTTTTCAATACCGAGGGTCGAACTCAGGACCTTGTGTTTGCGAGGCAGGTGAGGCACCACTGAGCTAAATGCCCAACCCCGTTTTTGTAATCATTCTTAACTGCAAGAGAGACCAATAAATGTAGGAGGGTCAGGGGGGCAAGGGGAGGAGGGGAAAAGATTTGGGTGGAAGCCAGTCTTTGCTTTATATATAATTTTTTACAATGGGGGTAAAAAGACCCTGGAAAAATAGTACAAGAACTTGAACTTGTCTATCATGAGATGCTAAGGTGTGAATAGGTTGGCTGAGTATTGGATAATGAAGGGTGGGTAACTAGGAGAGAAAGATAAAAGCCGAATTTCCAATTATGTTCCCAAGAGAGGAGGTATCGTCATATACCTCTGTATTAGAGAACATTTAACCTGTTTTATGCCATGGAACTCTTTAGCAGTCTGAGAAAACTCTTTCTCCTTTTTACATTGCGTCAGTCCTCTTTTTAATTTTTATTAGTACATATTTGTAGTACATAGTGATCACATTCCTTGTAGGAATTTGGTAGGTGTACCTAACATCTCAATTGTATTTTCCCTCCCCACCCCTTTAAAAAATTTTTGTGCCAGCATCAGGTTTACTTATTTATTTTATGTCTTTATCAAGTTAATTGTCATAAACACAAATTGACAGCCAAAGTAATAGTCCAAATAACATATAAAATACATACAACAATGATATACTTCTGGATACATCGACCATGTTGTATCACAATAACTTTTCTCTCTAGTTTTCCCTATTGTCTGCCTTTTATTTTGTACTTCATTTATATATTATGTTTCTCACATAAAAGAAACCAGGCAACATCTAAGCTTGTGTGTCTGATTTACCTAATATAGCCTCAAAGTATACCTATTTTCCTACAAATGATTCAAGTTTATCTTTCTTTATGGCAGGGCAGTGTTCTGTTGTGTATAATGATCCCATTTTCTTCATCCATTTATCCGCTATTGAACATATAGGCTACTTCCAAGATTTATCTATTATAACTTATGTTGCTACAAACATGGGTGTGCATACATCACTGTGGTGTGATGTCACTAGCTTTTGGGGGGAAGTTGCCTAGAAGGGGAATAGCAGGGTCAAATGGAATTACTCTTTTTAGTTTTTTGAGCATTTCCATACAGATTTCCATAGTGGTTGTACCAGTTTACACTCCCACCAAAAATGAAGAAGGGTTCCTTTTTTCCCCCATAGTACCTCCAACATTCATTATTGTTTGATTTCTTAAAGATAGCCATGTTTTCTGGAGTGAAATGGAATCTCAGTGCTGCTTAAACTGGCATTTCTTCAATGGCCAGAGATGTTGAACATTTTTCATGTATTTATTGGCCATTTGTACTTCTTCATCTGAGAAGTGTCTATTCTCAGATGCCCATTGTTTACTGGGTCTGTATATTTGGAGTGTCTAGTTTTTTAAATTTTTTATATATTCTAGATATTAGCCCTTTGTCTGAAGAATACCTGGCAATTTTTTTCCCATTTTATAGGCAGTCTTTGCTCTGTTGGTGGGTTTTGTTGTTGTTGTTGTTGTTTTTACTTTTTGATTTTTTAGTTTTTTGAAGCAGGGTCTCCCTTTGTAGTTCAGGCTGGCCCTGAACTTGCTATGTAGCCCAGGCTGGCATTGAACTTGTGGCAATCCTGCCTCAGCCTCCCAAGTACTGGGATTATAGGCATGCACCACCAAATCCAGCTTGTTGGTGGTTTCTTTTGCTGTGCAAAAGCTTTTCATTATTATTTTTATTATTATTATTATTATTGGTACTGGGGACCAAACTAGGGACTTTCTGCTTGCGAGGCAGGCAGCAGAACCACTGAGCTAAAT